CTTCATGTGATCAAGTCCAAGGTCATAAATAGTAATAAAGTTTCCCTGAGGAAGGCATAGGAGTCTTAACTATGTGAGTATGAAGGGCACATGTCATGCTCAATTGTATGTGTAGTGAGAGAAAAATAACAAATCCACGCAAATAATCTACCAGCTTAGAGTGGTAAATGTCTAATTCCTGCAAGTAATCTACATGACTTAATATATCTTGTATATTGTATTGCCCACAATGCACGCACATGGCTTAGCTTGTGAAAATAGTGAGATGTAGAAAACAGTCTCCGTTTTATGAATCAATCTTTGTAAAACGAATGAGGACATAATTCTGATTAATTCAATGGATAAAGTATTTAAATCGAGATTATGCATGTGTGAGAATGATTGTCATACAACAACAATTTAGTGACACTTATTTATGGAAAGATCTCACCAAATTCGAAGTCAGGGATGTATATCCTCCCTCGATGATCTTCATTGACAGCGCGGTAGACCCTTGTTTCAAGGAAATAGGAAGCATTCAACCTTTAATGTTTGTTGGCCACATCCGGCCCTGTTATCGCCCTCGCCCTCGGGGAGAGATACCATCCAAGATTATTTGTGTTTGCCTCGAAACTGAGAATGTTATTCTTGTAGTTGAATCGCAAGATACACCTTATTGAATGCTCCTAGTGTGGTACTTGAGGGATGGTTGCCCCTTCGAGAAGAAAAGTCTCTCAAGACAATAATTTCCACTTGAAGGATTAACCAATTATATAAATATTAAGACAAATATATAATCGCTGAAGTAATAACAAACAATTTCCGAATTTGAGAAATCTATTGATGTTTTTCTCGCGGTTGATCAGGTCTTTTGCTGCTTCTCGGCTGCTACCTGGACTAATTATTGATATGCCTTCTCAGCTGAATCATGCGTGCTTTGAAGTTGCAGCTAGTATTGAAGCCAATGGAGAAATAATATTTTAAATAATTCTCATGAAAGCTTTGGTCAGTGATACAGCTCTTGGAATATATTCTCCAAAATATGCATATATGGGATGCCTTGTTATAAGAAGGAGAATGAATATACATGTTCCAAAATATAAATGCGAACGAGTACGTAAACTAGCATTCGTCATGATGAGTATATCAACAATTTAAAGTGTTGAGCATGAAATATTGACATTTTAGGACTAACCCCCATTTCATATATGAAGGGGGGGGGGGCGAAGTCTAATTAACACATAATCCACATCAAGGAAAAAGTCGCATACCTTTAATAAGTTATTTCTTGTTTAAATGTTATCTCCAAGTATAAGTGTGGAGAGTAGATTATTAAGTAATCAATTTAAAGATATCAATAAGAGAAATGAGTAACTTGGAACACATAGGCTGTTTTCATTGATGGTTACCACCGAAGTCAAGTACGGCAGACCACTTGATTATTTATAATCAATTCAATTTTCAATGGTTATGTATAGGTGTCCTACCCCCCGAAACCAAGGAGCAAAATTGGTTTTGACAGTAAATCATAAAAGAATTTCAAGAATGCAGGTCAGCATACCAAAATTGATGTGAACTAAAAAGAAAAGAACCAAAAACATGGACTTCATGATGTGGTGGGCATGGTCTATGTTCACCACCTTGGGTGATCAACAAATTTGAGCAGAGGCCATCAAGCCGTTAACGCCTAGACCTTCTATGCAATTCACGGAATGTGTGACTTGATTGTGTGAAATATGATGATCTTAGGCACATGTCGAGGATCCGTGAACCTGGGTTTTGAGAAGCCATGGCCATAACCACGATCGCTCCCGTGCTCGATCGTCCATGGTCAATAGCAACGGCACTGGACCTCGTTGGATCCCATGTCTCAGCCAATCTCGTGCCTGGTTGTCATAGATGGAGACTATGGTGTAGCCCTACATGACGAGAGTCCTCAAGAGATCATCGAACAGAAATTGATCGCGATTAATATCAGATAAAAATATAGAACCTGGATATCTCAATTAAACGAAGCTCATGTAGGTAAATTGTCTAGCCTTACCCCCACAACAATGAATTCGTAGACCTACTCATTAGTAACAAATATGTAGCGGCTGATTTATTAAAATTTGGGAGTAAAACTTGAATACTAGCTCGAGAGAAACAATAAGCAGAGTCTTTGAGAGATTAAGGTTTTAGAAAATTTCATCCAGGCCTTATCCAAATTAATCTTAAAATAATTTTCATTGTTTATGCACTCCCAAAATAAAGCGAAATTAGAAAGCCCCAAGCATCAGATGAAATTTTATGCAGGCTTTAATTTATGCAACCAATCATGATCCATCTTTAATTAAAGGGATAGAACCTGGATATGGAATTTGCCAAATGGGAACGTATGGCACCACTCGAGGCTACAAAAATTGTTAAGTCTGATGCACGATGGAATTTGCGTGGCTGCATGTCAATCCTAATTTGATAAATTACATCAAAATTATAAGTAGGAACATAGAAACTGGAGATCCTGGCGGGTAGAAACTAATACTGTTTCCCGTAAATCATCAGCCATGGAAAAGAGGCGTGCTATCGTTAGCACCTTCTCAAGAAAATTCGTGAGCGAAAACCCTAACGGTCCCATTGGGCGTACCACTTGGCGAAGCATGGATTCGCGCCGACGTCTCCAGTTGATTGAATCGGCGGCCATAGCAGTATCAAAACCTTAAAACCTACAAAAGAGGGCCTCGGAGTCTCCCGAGGGTAGACACTCTAATACTTAAGTCAGTAAGACTAATTATGAGTAGCTCAGTCTTTTGTTGGAGTTAAATTCCCCTTTCTATATGAGAACACTTTAGATTTGCACTTGGATGATGTAAGTGTGTCCATTTTTAGTGTTTGAATTAACCTTGTGTGTAGTCGGATCAACTAAGCACTTGTGCATGTATACTGTCGGAATCTCAGAAGGATAAACCCAGTTTAGAACTACCAAAATTGGCTGGTGACTTGGTGGTAACAATCTAAGGTTTCAACTAAGATTGGAAGATACCTGGCTAGCACGAGGTGATCAATAAGACTCTAACTTTTAATGACCTGATAGGACTTAAACACTTTCCCCGGAAGGGAGCTTGTTAGTCACTAGAGGGACTCCTGTGAGAACATCAGAGACTTGGGAGTATATTAGCATATGATCAAACACACTTCGTATCACATAGATACATAATCACTGTATAAGTAACATAGAAAGAGAGAAGGATCCCTAGGCTCCCTAACTCTGTATATTTCCTTGCATTATTTCCTAAACTACTACTTTTCATACTCTGTCTGCTCGAATTTGCTTTCTTGCCTGATGTTTACTAGTTTTGGTTAGTGTTCCATTCAGGAAGACCACCATTCATGTAAGTGCTAACAACACTCGCATAAGTGGCCATCTCAACACTCTTTTCTCGTTTGTTTTGGTGCGGTTTTCCAGGCGGTTCTTAGACAGTTACTATTGCCTGTGTGGATACGACCTGACTTGCTAGCTAACTACTAGTTAAGTTGGTTTCTTTTGGACGATTTGGCGACAGAAGATCACAATTTGGCTCCTAACAAACTATCCTAACAAATCCTACAAATTTCAAAATAAAAAAAATTGATTAAATTCTCATAACAAATTATCGTAACAAACATTGTTGACAAACCATCACTATTTTATTGATGATCAGGGGGAAACTTAGAGGAGCATTTCATCAGAACTAGTGGAAAGGCCAACAGTGTGGCAAATATACTACCAGCTCATATTATAGATGGCTAACAGGTGAAAACCAAAAGGGAAAGGTGGCTGAAGTGATCTGAAGCATGCTGAACGTACCCAGACATTGTTTTATTGTCTGGCTTTGCTGGCAGGATAGATTGCTAACTAGAGACAAATTACAGCATCTAGGGGTGACAAACATTGATATTACATGTCCTATGTGTAATTCAAGTCTTGAGATGTTGGAGCACCTGTTTTTGCAGTGTTGCTTGGCACAAAAGCATGGCAAAATTTACGGAGCTGGCTGGCATTCCCAGAAAGTTGGATTCAGGTGAAGAATTCGAAAAAACTACCGTATGTCTGGACTGGCAACAAAATGAAGTAGAGGATTCTATTTGCTATTATTGTGGCAGGATACTGTATGATATGGAGAACCAGGAACTAACAAGTCCTTAATCAGAAGCAATGGAGTGATGTGCAGATTTGTGAAGAGATTAAACAGCAAGTGAAAGATGGAGAGTTCAACATTATGGGAGGGTAAAGAAAGTAAGGGAAAAAAAGCAGTATTACAGAATTTGAAAATTTTGTAGTAGACGGAATATAGATGCCAGTGAATAATTAGTGAGATTTTATTTTTCTGCTGTAAATTTTGTACACATACGAGTGACTTTTTGGTGATGAGGAATATAATTTACATTTTACCTAAAAAAAACCATCACTATTTTTCTTAAAAGAATTATCGTAAAAAATATTGGTAACAACCTATCACTATATATATATATATATTTGTTTTTTTAAATCAAATAATTAAATTGGTAATTTAAGCAAGTGAAATTGAATACTAAAAATCAAATAATTAAATTGGTGATTTTAAGTTAGTGAAATCGAATAATTGCATGATAAAATTTCTACACCTAATTGAGCGTGATTTTCCAATTTCTCAATCAGTTTCTAGATTCTTGCCATTTGTCCAGAAAACTTCATGTTTTAATATATAGGATTTAAAAATTTATGATAAAAGAAAATGTACCAGTAAATGAGAAAAAAAAAGAAGATGATATGTACAAATGTTAATTGAAAAATTTCAAAATTTAAGTTAAAAGAATGGATTAACAAAATAGACATTCAACCATTTTTTATAAGTTGTTCTTTACTTCCATCAAACGAACCAAACGCCCTTCAACATAAATCGTTAAGGAACTCACAGTCAGAAGGGTCAGTCAAATTTTCGTACGAAGGACATGACTATATAAAGCCAAATGAGCTCTCCAGAATAAATTTTCCACTTTATTTTTTTTGCCCCTTTTTTCTTATGTCTAATCCGCCCGGCACCAACACCAACGTCACCACCACTCCCAGCGGCAGCAGCTCCTCCCATAAGCCTCCACCATCTCCTTTCACCTCCTCCTCCTCCTCCACCACCCACGGCGGCAGCGGAGCCGGAACTCCACTCTCCCCACTCCCGGCAATGAAAAAGGCCAAGTCTCAAGCTGTTGCTTACTCTCTCGATAACAAGAACGGCCAGCCTCCACATGTCCATTTCTCGCCCGAGATTGATGCCAGTACTACCAATTTCAATTCCGCCTCAATGATCGATGTAGAAGAAGAAGATCCCGGTGATGTCGTCTTGGACCCTAGTAACATTAGCAATTTTAGCAGCAATGCTCTGTCACGCGCCTCCAATTTGGCTCGGAAAAAGGCTACTCCTCCTCAGCCACAAAAGAAGCTTGTCATTAAGCTCCTTAAAGGTTTTCTTTATGTTCTTCTTAGAAATCTTTTACCTTTTTTTATGTTCGATTGAAAGTTTTTGGAAAAAGTTCTAATCCGACTTGTTGTAGTGTGGGGTTTCGTAATTTGATTTGATAAAATTCGTAATCTTTTAGTGGGGTACCTTACTAGGGTTTTTGGGCGATCAATTATAGAGCGGTTTGCATTGGACGTTGGTTACTGTTGGTGAAAATGTGATCTTTGGTTTGTCTATTTGAATGACAAATTGGATTTTTATATCTCAAAAATTAGTTTCTTTTTCCCTTCTCCAAAGTTAAGCAGTAAATTCTTCTATTTGTGCTAATTGGGTGGGGAAATCTATCAAATTTTTGGAAGGAAATGCTGAGAATCTTCAGTTTTGGACTAATTTGTTGATAATATTGTTATGTTTGGTTTTTTGCCCTGTGAATTTGGCTGCTACGGTGGCTTTTTATTTTAAAAATCTTTTACAATAATTGGTAGTCTTTATTCAATTGAAGACTAGAGAGTCTGTCTCCTACCCCTCTATTTTAAATATATAAATAGTGTAGAAATTTCTTCCATTTTGATTACTAGAACTGTAGCAATTAGTTGATATTAAAGCAGGGACCAACTAAAGGCTGATTTATTCTTGTGCTTAACTGAGGAACGCGTATGGATTTTGAGGTAGGAAGTGTTATGTCTGCCACATAACACCTCCGAAATGTGTAGCTTCTGTCTTCTTGGGAAGATTCAGCTTCCAAATTTTGCCATTATGCACTTCCTGTGCTTTGCAAAGTTGGAAAGGTGCTGGACCTTCAGAACTTGTTCGTTATCTTTATTGGCAGGCTATATTTCCTTCACTGGAAACATGTTCTGTTTCCCTCGAACTCAGTTGTCCATCCTGATCAGGAACATGGGACGGTCGGGGATGTAAGTAGGTACCTGCCTAAGTCAATTGCCTTAAACGTAAAGAGTATGATTGGAAATTTGTGACATTGATGCCGGTAATTTGGTAGCATGTAAACGAATACAAATGGCACTTTGTGAATAATTTTTTGGTAAAGAGTAGTTCATGTCTGTGAATTGGAGATGTGCTGTTTATGCTAGTATATTGAAATATAATATGTGAGCTTGAGTAGTTTGCAGAAAATGGACAATGGTGTGTGAGATTGACCCCTTCTTTTTTTTAGATTGCACTGGTACATGCTACTCTGAGCCAATTAGTCATATGCATTTCACAGTCACTAATCCAATTAATACTTTCTATCGTATAACCAGTAGAATAAGCTGTTCCAGTAAAAAAATCCCCTTTTCCTGCCCCTCCTGGATTCCTGGTTAGTCTGAAATATCAGGTACTGAAGAATGTAGAAAATAATCTTGTTCAATCACTTCCATAATTTCATTTGAGAAAAGCATTGGATCAGTTAAACCGTAGGTAGCCTTGTTAAGGAAGTAACTTCATTGCCATGGAAACTATGAGAAGGCGTACCACAAAGAATGTTCGATTTCTTAGTCGCTTCTTTGGTAAATTTGGAATTGGATTTCATTTTAGTGTAGTTATCCATTTCTTGAATTTGTCTCCTGCCACGAGTGTTATCCTGTATCTACATGATTTATAAAGTAATTTTTAGGGGAGTTATTGAATAGGGAAATGCTCTATACTATATTATAGGATGCTATATCTTTGTAGGAGTACTGTTATAGATTATAACTAAGAAAGTAGGTGCTCTCATTACATAAATGATCAACTTATGCTAAGATTCTTTTATTCAGTTTGATCTCTTGGAACTACTTCTCATAATTTACCCTTTTCCCCTTATTCTCTGAATCATTTCCCCTTATTTAAGTCAATGGGTCCATAATAGTTACTCTGTGATGCAGGAAGATTTCAGAAATATGGGGAGCTTCATATTAGTTTTAAGGAAAATAGCAAGAATCTTCTTAGAATTAAGTTTCCTTTTAGTTTAATTTCCTGTTTGCTATATTACCTTAATTATGAATTAGTTTTAGGCAATTTTAGTAGCTTTAGGAATAAGTCAGGCTTCTCTATAAATAGGGTGGTTCTGCAGTAGTTGGATGGACATTGTTGATATTAATATAATTTTAAGCTTTTGAAGCTTCCAAAGACTATGTCTTTCTGAAATCCCTACAGCTAGGGTTTGCCTATTCCGTCTATTATCAATTCAGCCCCTGTTCCCCATCACTCTGAGATCTCTAAGACATCTTCTAGTGTCCTACTTAATTCTTTACCTAAGAGGTGCACTTATGTGAATCCAAGAAACTTTTGTGGTGGCAGTAATTGAATATATGCATTCAGAATCCTTATATTTGGCATAAAAATTTAGTGATTTGGATGAATGACGGAATGGTCTAGATTCCTTATGTCCTTGTTTTGTGTTTTCGTTTACTGCTTGCATTCATTGCCCTCCTAATTCAGTTTGCTGATGTTTTTAGTGCTTTGCTTTTCTATGCAATTTTGTTGATCAATTCTTCAAGGCATAAGAGATGGCAAGACAATGTCTCTGCCATAGATCTCCTATTACAGAGGCACTAGGGGAAACATGCTGGGGTCATGCCTGCGTTTTGCATGTTAAGAGTAGCATTTCTTATATTAAAAATTAGATTCTGCTTCTATTGATGATGATTCAGATTTTCTTTTCTGGCTTGTACTAGACTTTTGGGAAAATGTGGATATCCTGTGTACTAGACATGTTCTACTAATTCAGCACTAAATGATTTTCCAGAGCAGAAAAAACAGTTACTAAATTGATTTTATCACCTTAATTTTTGTAATTGATTGCTAATATTGATTCTTTGTGTACTGCCTTATTGCCAGCCCTTGTCATCAGCCATTGCCCCTATGTTGAATGCTCCAAGAAATTCCTGCTTCAACCATTCCTGTTCCTTTTTCTTTGTGGCTGATATAAAGCCTGCTTGTTACAATCTTCCATTCTTACAACCACACTCAATCCTCCCACCCTGGCTGATCCGCTGATGTGAATTTCTTGCTCCCACCTTTTAGGCAAATTTTTACAGGTAGCTCTACTTTGGTGGTATCGTAATGACTAAAGCCAATATCATGTTATCTTACCAGGGCTGTCTTACAAAATGGAAAACTGTGTAAATTCTTTCTTTTTCGAAAAGAATGAAATAGACGACAGACAAATGGGAATGTCGTGGCCTCGTAGGTTTTAAGACTATAATTACTGCAGCAAATCTAGAATATCTGAAAAACCAGGAGAGAATGCTAGGTGCATGGTATTTCACTTGCTAGTCTCATTTCAAATTACTGGAAGTCTTGAGGTTTTAATTTTGAAATGCTGTAAAGTTGTTGGGTAAGGGTGGAGGTTGTAACTTGGAGGTCCTGAGTTTGAAGTTCAGTTGCTGGATCTGAGGGGGAAAAGATTAGGAAAAATGGCATCAAATCTTTTTTTCTTGTACCAAGCAGTTCTTTTCCAGTGCTTGACTAATCATATATCTTCTTTCATATGTTGGTGTAATTGAAGAGATTAGTCATTGATATATTTGGATGTGCAAATGTGTTTGTGTCTGTTGATCTTTGGAAAATGTACTTAATGCTTATAGAATACTTGATAGTCTCATACATATATTGTTTTCGTTCCTTTCTGCAGGTAAACCTACGTTGCCCTCAGATTTTGAAGAAACCACGTGGGCAAAACTTAAATCAGCTATCAATGCCATATTCTTGATGCAGCCAGATCCTTGTGATCTTGAGAAGTTGTATCAGGTCTCTTTACGAAAATTCTGTTTCTCTATCTCAAGTTTAAGGATCTTGTTTGCAAAGAGCAGTTTCTTACTATTCCTCTGTTTCTAGGCGGTAAATGACCTATGTCTGCACAAGATGGGGGGAAATCTTTATCAACGAATTGAAAAGGAATGTGAAGCGCATATATCAGCTTCCTTGCAATCTCTCGTTGGACAGAGTGAAGATTTGGTGGTTTTCTTGTCTCTTGTAGAGAAGTGCTGGCAGGACTTTTGTGACCAGATGTTAATGATTCGAGGTATAGCTCTGTATCTGGACCGGACATATGTTAAGCAAACTCCAAATGTTAGGTCGTTGTGGGATATGGGTTTGCAACTATTCCGGAAGCATTTATCTCTAGCTTCAGAAGTGGAGCACAAAACCGTGTTTGGTCTTCTCAAGATGATTGAGAGTGAAAGGTAGACTGCTATCCGAGATTTTGTTATGCAGATTACTATACATATCTGTTTATTCTGCTAATGATATTTCGTGGGTCATTAAAATTATTCGGTGTTGTTGACCTATATTGTTGGCCAATGTTCAGCTTCTTGACTGCGTGAGCATGTTTGGGAATGTAAATATTACAGGCAATCCCAGTCCTGAATGTAATTGTTGTTTCTATGCCTGTGTTGTGTCTGTGTTTCTTTTCTTTTTTTTTTTTTTTTTTTTAAACACTATTCTGCTTCTTGTTTCACCATAAGTTTACATCTGCATATGATAGTTTTATGCATATGGTGTTGCTTCGCTTTGAAGCCATTTGTATCTTTATATATCTTTGAACTTTTTTTTTTTTTTCCTTAAAGAGGATTAATAGTGGTTTTATGAACTTTTTTAAAGAGGATTAAAGCCATTTGGTCAAAGGTCCACTAGACTGCACCTCTTTGTCATATATCTATGAACTTGTATACTCCCTCCATCCCACAAATGATTGGTATGGATATGGTGTTTGTTGTATCCAATCTTTTTTGGGCAGGGAGAGTATAACTTTATTTTTAACGTAGAAATTTGAAGTAATGATGAAGTCTATAGATCAATCTTGCATGTCTGGCTATAGATTCTGATGATGAATGTTCTGAATTTCTATGTGTTATGGATTTCTGGTCAGATGAAGAGTTTTTACGGACATAGTATAGCTGATTATAATATCCTAGAAATGAGCATCGAACGATTGTCTTTTCCTTCTGCCTACCGAGGAGTCAATACGATATGATTCACTTTCAGGTTCTACCTTGTCACTGTGGAAATCGGGATCCCTTAAGTTTGCTTTTCTATCCTTGTTTTGAAATATATCTGAACTGGTATGTGATGAAGTTATTGATGATCTTTATTATGCTTGCGCCTTTTCGTTGCTCCTAGAGAATTTTTCGTGGGCATATTGTTGATTATATCTTAGATTAGCAAACAATCGACCTTGATTTGAACTGAAGTGTTGAGTAGGATTCCAATTCCTTCTTGGTGTAGTTGATCTTATGAGGAATCAAATAAATACCTTTTTTTAGGTTGTGCACTATTTACATTGGCTATTTATCCTTTTAACATTTGTTTTTACTAATGAATTCAAGTAATCAACACTGGAAGTGTAAGATATGATTCACTTTCATGTTCGGCCTTATCAATGGAAAAAAGGGATCCCAAGTAGCATTCCCTATTTTCGTTTTAAAATATATTAGAACATGATGCGATGAAGTTATTAATAAATCTTATCATGCTGGCATCTTTTCGTTGGTCCTGAATGCTTCAACTGAAAATGACAGTTGCAGGGAACTCTGGCGCCTTGTTGACAGAAAAGTTCCGGAGCTTGTTTATTGTATATGAGCCTTAATCCACCACCATTTATCACGTTTCTTTCCAGTTTATCTTTAGTCACAAGTAATTTTTGTAAGCTAAATTGGGAAAGGAGACTCTAAGACTGAATTTATGTGCAACCATTTAAATTCTGTTGACGAACATAAAGTAACTGCAACACGGAGAATCAATCGGAGATATATGTGTTGGTTTTGCGACTAGCTGTTTCCTAGTTGTAGTTTGTGCCAAACATAATTGGGGACGGAAAGCATGGACTGTGTGTCCTACGTATTTTGCTTCGTCTCAAGTACATTTGGATGGATGTTTTTATATGTTAAGAGATGTGCTGTCTGAATACATTAATACTAAAGTATTTAAAGAGGTAGTTTTTGTAAATTCTTAGTATCACAATGCTGAGTGCTGGCTATTTATATCATTAAACTTACGGGAATATATAGCTATTAAGAAGATGGAGAAAAAGCAGTCTAGCTGTGGGACAAGGGTGGGTTGGTAATTGATGGTATGAAATCTGGTTTTCTTTAATTCTTATTATCCTAATGTTATTTTTTGCAGATTGGGTGAGGCAGTTGATAGAACTCTCCTGAACCATCTCCTGAAGATGTTCACTGCATTGGGGATTTATTCTGATAGCTTTGAGAAGCCATTCTTGGAGCGTACATCTGAGTTCTATGCTTCTGAAGGCGTTAAATACATGCAACAGTCTGATGTTCCTGATTACTTGAAGCATGTGGAGGTCTGTTCTCTTTATATGCTATTCACTCCTTTTTCTCAGATATATGTTGATTCCCATGTATTTAAGTTTTAAGTTCTAAGTGTCTATTAAACCTATAAACTATTGTTCCTTGCAGACAAGACTGCATGAAGAGCATGAGAGGTGTTTACTCTACCTGGATGCAAGTACCAGAAAACCATTAGTTGCTACTGCAGAAAGGCAACTTCTTGAAAGGCACATAGCTGTTATACTTGATAAAGTGTGTAGCAGGATTCCATTCTCTATTTCTGTGCATTTTCTAATGTCATTTTTTCTGAATGTTCACACTATTTGATTGCTATGCTCTGTAGGGTTTTATGATGCTTATGGATGGCCATCGCAGTGAGGATCTTCAAAGGGTGTATAACCTCCTCTCTAGAGTTAATGCCCTGGAATCATTAAGACTAGCTCTTAGTACATATATACGGAGAACTGGGCAGGGTATTGTCATGGATGAGGAGAAGGACAAAGATATGGTGTCCAGCCTTTTAGATTTCAAGGCTACGCTCGATACTATTTGGGAGGAAAGTTTCTCAAAGAATGAAGCATTTAGTAACACTATCAAGGATGCTTTCGAACACTTGATTAATCTTCGCCAGGTATTATGGTTTAACATGTACTCCTTTTCCACGCTTTACAGAATAATAATAGGGTGCCTAAGAACGTGGTAAATTGATCTTTTTACCTTAGATGTTCAAATTGAGAACTATGGGGAACTTTTAAAAGAACTTGAATGGTTATTTCCTTCGTGTTCCTTTTGACAGTTGTTTGAAGTTGAAAACTTCTCTGCTAATATTGTTTTTCAGATGGTTCAGCACTCACTCCTTTAATGCTGCAATCAATAAAATTGAAGAGTCTAATTCTGTTGGAATTACCATTGTTAAGATCTTTTTTGTATGGTAAATTAATATTTTGTGTTTGGATACTTGTTCGAACTCATTGGTGATACAATGGAGTCAAATCTTATAGCGCTCTCTTTGATATTATGCATGGTATAGTTCAAAAAGTATGAAGTAACACTTCTCAGTATGTTGTGCGTAGAAATTTACAAATTTTAATATGTTCATTGAACATTAAAACTTCAAATCTACTATGTTACAAATTTTGATGGTTGGAAGGAAAAGGGGGGACAAACTTTCCTACAAATCTGTGAATGTGCTTAACAACAGTTTTGAGCCCTCGTGTTTTCTCCTTTGAAATTACAAAACTACCTTTAAACTTTCTTGAATATTAGGAAAAAAGCGTTTAAACAACATCTAGAGGTGCGCTAACTACCTTTTACAGTTTTTTTCATTGGCGCCTTCGTGCATGGTTTCTGCTATACATTAAATTTCTTTCTTCTGGATGAATTTAAGAGAATTTTTGTCTTTATGCTCTTCCTCTGGATGCATTTGGTTTTAGAACTATCTAGGAAATTATTTGATTAAAATGACTCTAGTTACATGTCTTATATTGATCATAGCATGTTGTTAATGAAATGCAATGGGGATTGAACTAACACCAATATTTATTCTGATACTGTATTTATAGAACCGACCTGCTGAGTTAATTGCTAAGTTTTTGGACGAAAAGCTTCGTGCTGGAAATAAAGGCACTTCAGAGGAGGAACTGGAAGGTACATTAGACAAAGTCTTGGTGCTCTTCAGATTTATACAGGTAATTTTAGTCTGTGAATTTATGTGTTTGTATCTGTATAGAATTCATCATCGTTGCAGTTATATATTTGAATTTTTATCTTCTCTTTTCAGGGTAAAGATGTTTTTGAAGCATTTTATAAGAAAGATCTTGCCAAGAGGTTACTCTTGGGTAAAAGTGCATCCATTGATGCTGAGAAGTCCATGATTTCTAAGGTGAGTTTTGAGGTCTATAACCTCTGTGTGTGTGTGTGTGTTTTCCTTTTTTTTTTTTTGGGGGTGTTGTTTTGCTGTCACGTGTAAAAGTATTTTTCAACTTTGCAGCTAAAAACAGAGTGTGGGAGCCAGTTTACTAACAAACTAGAAGGGATGTTCAAGGTATGTGTGGGTTTCCCTATAATATTTCTTTTTACTTTACTGAATTGAAAGTTGTTTGCCAGTATGTTTACGGATGGATTCCGCCTCTCTTGGGTACACCAGAAGGGAGAGAGAAATATTCTTCACATGCTAGTAGCTCAAGTTTCTGCAAAGTATGTTATGTAAAATATTAGTGGACGAGTATAATGTACTGTCTTTGGTCAAATATTAGTGGGTAGTAGGGAGGGACAAAAAATGGACAGTTCAAATTTAGTGGTTCCATCTGGCCTTATTGCTTAGGCAGCTTTTAAAAGTTTTGCAGGAAGCTGAACTTTACAAGAAAATTATAATTTTAAATTTGCTATTATTTTTATTCTTATATTTTTTTTGCTTGTAAGTTAGTACGTGATGTTGCAGGTGCTCTTGCCCTATTGCATTAAGATATATTCGTTGTCAATCATACATAAACATTTACTTTTTTGTTCGACCACTTTGTCCAGGATATTGAGTTATCTAAAGAAATAAATGAATCCTTCAAGCAATCCTCTCAAGCTCGGACAAAGCTTCCCTCTGGAATTGAGATGAGTGTCCATGTCTTAACAACTGGGTATGTCATTAATCTTGTGCTGAGATGCATTTAAAGCCTGATATCCCGTGTGAAATCATGATTTGTCTTAACAACTGACTGACTGAGTATATCACCGATCTTGAACTTTGAGATGCATTTTAGGCCAACTTTATATCCAATGTGTAATCCATGCTTAAGGACAATGAATAATATTTTATTGATTGTCATCAGGTATTGGCCTACATATCCACCAATGGATGTCCGGCTTCCCCATGAACTCAATGTGTATCAGGTCTGTACTATGCTGGCTCATAAGTACCTGTATTGACACCGCTTGTTACTTTGAAACATTCATCTTTGTTTTCAAACTTGTTTTTACAGGATATTTTTAAAGAGTTCTATCTCAGCAAGTACAGTGGAAGGAGATTAATGTGGCAGAATTCATTGGGTCATTGTGTTCTGAAAGCAGAATTTCCAAAAGGTAAAAAGGAGCTGGCAGTCTCGCTATTTCAGGTTCGTTTGATCTCACCTACAAACTTTGTAGCAGTACAGTTCGTTAAAAAGGAGCTGGCATTTTCTTACTCCAGTTTTTCCATCTCTGCCATGCTTCAGACTGTTGTCTTGATGCTCTTTAATGACGCTGAAAAGCTTAGCTTTCAAGACATTAAGGAATCGACAGGCATCGAGGACAAAGAGCTGCGAAGAACTCTTCAGTCCCTTGCATGTGGAAAAGTTCGTGTTCTTCAGAAGGTGAGTAGTAATTGCTGTATTTCTTCAATCTCTTTTCTGTTCTATCATAATCCACTATCTCTATGGTGGTTGTTGACAGAGCTGAATTTCCTTTCAGATTCCCAAAGGTAGAGAAGTTGAAGATGATGACTCATTTGTGTTCAATGATCAATTTGCTGCTCCTCTTTACCGTATAAAGGTTTTTCCTTCCATATGCCTGCTAAAAATAGAGTTTTTGTTTTGCAATCATTTTTTGTAATTGGTGGTGGTTGAATTTAGACCGTCAAGCTTGCTGCTATTAGTAATTGAAGCTATTCTTTCCTACTGGTGTCTAGGAGAAAGTGATGTGATGACCGATTTGGCAACAGTTGTTATTGACATACGTTCATGAACTGAAGCTAATTGAGTTTTTACATGTACAGGTGAATGCCATTCAGATGAAGGAAACAGTCGAGGAGAACACCAGCACTACTGAAAGAGTATTTCAGGATCGCCAATATCAGGTTAGCATTATTCATTAAATTGTTAACTCCAGTCTTGAATTTTGACTACTGAAGACAGTGATCTGAAAATCCATTTTCATGGCTAGAATATTGAAAATTTGGTGGGTTGCTTGCAGGTTGATGCTGCCATTGTTCGTATTATGAAAACCAGAAAAGTGTTGAGCCATACACTATTGATAACTGAACTTTTTCAACAGGTTTGAGAAAACACCTTCTAGATGTTTTATTGGGTAACGGACTGTATCATTGCCATACATCTGTCGTAGACCGACTGACCATATTACTATGTTTCCATTGAAAACATTTCTGGTTTGAATGATGCAGCTCAAGTTCCCGATAAAGCCAGCTGACTTGAAGAAACGGATTGAAAGTCTTATAGATAGAGAGTACCTGGAGCGCGACAAAAACAACCCTCAAATATACAATTATCTAGCATAAGATACGGCCAAAGGAGTTGAAGAACTGTAAAGTACATGGTCGAAGCGCAGCAGTCTTTGACACAGACTCGGAGAAGATCATGGTCTGATGTTAGATTGTGTACAGATATGTTGTAGACGTTATTTTTGTTGTGTCCCAAAACTGAGTGTAAAGAATACACATCCTGTTGCCTTCTTTTTTAACTTCCTTCCTCTCCTCAGTAAATTGAATAAGTGGATGATTTTCGTTATTTAAATGTATCAAAGTGGAAATCTTTTCTCGTTATTAATATATCAACGATCGATCCTATCCATACTCTGATACATTTATGTTTCTCTACAGTAGGACTATTATTATATTATCAGTATTTAATTATATTATAAGTACTATATTATCAGTTTTTAATCTTTTCGTTATACATATCATTTATCCATATCATCTTATCACATCAACTAATTCATTTATTTAAAAATTAAACCTTTGAAAGTTATTCTATACAATATTCATAAGAACGAAGTTATTTAAGTTATTTCTTTTAATTTATCTTAGAAGCTCTTTCTGCCAAACAAAATTTGGTTTTTCTTTTTCCTTCTACAAACTCCGTTCCTTTTGTTCTCTTTTTATTTCTAAACAAAATTTGCCAAAAATATTCCTAACAAATCCCATGACTAGATTAAAGTATTTTAAGAACTTTGGTTCTTTATCAATATCAATGTTTTTCAATTATGAAAATTCGTTCGTGTCCAACCAAGTAAACAACATTCATTAGTTTTAAATTAGGTTCTCGAATCAAAATCTAAAAATACGAGTGTCAATTTATAAAACACTGGACTCAACATTTATTAGTTTAAATTAGTTTTCGAATCAAAATTTGGAGATACAAGTATTATGTAACGAAATACTAGACTCAATATTTATTAGTTTTAAATTAATTCTCGAATCAAAATTTAGAAATACGAGTGTCAATTAACGAAATGCTGGACTCCGGTCACGCGATGTGACAATACTAATTTATTTAGAAGGGGAAAGTTATGCCTTTAACCTCACTACGTAATATTAATGAAATTTTACTGTTTTCTTTTTTTAAAAAAGAAAACATAAGAGACGAAATTTAAAAAATAACTCTCTCTGTCGCGAAAAAAAAAAAAGGGGATTTTTGATATTTATACTATTTTGAGTAACATGTACGGTACTGTTTTTTAACTGGGAGGAAGAGAGTAAACACAAGGACGCTCGCCGGAAGGCTATATTGAGTTTGACGGGGGAGTCGATCGATGGGGGCGTTGACAGCATCGTTGATAGCAGTTGCTGGAATTGCACTGGGTTGGATCACCATTGAGATCGCCTGCAAGCCTTGTCTTGAAAAGGGTCGTGAAGCAATTGATCGCAATCTCAACCCTGATTATGATCCTGATGATGATTCCATTCGTGCTCCTCTTAACCCAAACCCACCTCAAATCTCTGAAAATTCCTCCTCCACCTCTGCCCCGGCTAAAACGGTCTGATCCTCACTGATATGACTTCAAATGGCCCCGCCTGGAGAACATTGTAAACCTTGTCCCTTTTTATTCTTTTTCTTTTCTTTTTTTTTTTTTGTTCCTGATGTTGTATATTAGTATTGGGCTTTGTTGAGAATGGAGAGAAGAGAATGAAAAAGAATTATCTATTCAGATTTATATTACTTTGGTTTTTCCCCGTTTCTTTATGTTGTACTATGATAACAATGATGTTGATGGAATGGTTGCGTTGGTTCTGTCTAATGAGAAATGTATAACACTTCAAGGTTAATTGTTGTTTCACGTAGTTTTCTGTGTTGCATATTTCTTGGGCTTGATCTTGTATTCTGCCTTAATACCTTTGACATTGTTTGCATTCCTGATTTTAATTTTAATATACTAGAAGTGCTCACTTGTTTTAGTTTTTTTTTTTTTTTTGGGGTAGATATTAACCTTAGTATTATTATTAAGCATATCACATTTGTTGTTTTATTTTGTTGATTGAAGGTTATCAAATTATTTCTTATCTGATGGGTTACTGCAATGACCCTTAGGCTTGAATTTCGTATGACAAACATCTTTGATACATGGAGACCGATAGATTCAGTTTAGATTATTGTGCTCTCATAGGTGTATCACTCATTCTGTTTCACTCTGTGATCACTCCCTCATTTTGGACCAGATAAAGGAATGTATTGGTGATAATCATACTTGATAAATGCACATTCTGCTTAATTTCCATCTTAAAGTTGTAGCACGATGAAAGAATCTTTCTGGTAGGTTTGAGCTTATTCAGCCTGTGCAAAAGAGATGAGAAGCCTTAGGTCATATAACAGGAGTAAAGTTGTTAACTCTTTATGCCACAGAATGTTGCCAGTGGCTTTTGTCCTTGAGGTCAACTCCCATATCAAAGCATGAATTTCATCCTAATCCCAAAATATTTAAGACTTTTAACTTGTATCTATCATTTATCCTCCTGTAGTATACAAAATGAGACCTGATTTTTATGCATACTTTAACTAAATTTTTTCAGCCACACTGTTTTGAAAAACACAAAGGGGATGAAATGTAAGAAAGAAACTACTCTTTTTAACTTAACTTGTTTTCTTAAAATCATTGTTCTTCTTTTCCTTCTGGCAAATAAAGCATGTAAAGTATTTTCTTTGTGCTGAATTTCATGGGGAAGAGGATGTATGTTTTCAGAATGTGTCATCAAGTAAGTTATTGATGATATTATTAATGGTTTGCTTTTAGTTCAGTGATCTTGCCAGGTACATTGACTGGTGTCATTCTTGGAGAGAGATATGGTACTTTGTGTTGGCCTTATTGTAGATAAGAGATAGAGTTCTTCTCCCAGTCCTCTGTATGTTTAATTATATATAGTGTTCCGATTTCTTCTTGCTGATCGCCAGAGCTGAAGCAATTTATTGATGTATAGAAGAGACCAACTAAGAGCTGGTATATTTTGTGTCTCAGCTGAGGAATCATGTATGGATGTTGAACTAGAAAGTTCTATTCCAGCCAGTATCACCTTTGAAATGTGTATCCTCTGCCGGGAATTGAATGATTGTGTATACTCAGCTTCTGAATTTTGCCCTTGTGTAGTATGTGAGCTTTGCAAAGTTGGAAAGGTGCTGGACTTGTAGAACTTGTTTGCTATCTTATTGGCAAGTTAAATTGTCCTTCACTGGAAACGTGTTCATTTTCCCTCACGCTCAGTTGTCAATCCTGATTTGAGACGTCGGACATTCGGCCATTCTGGCGAATACCTGGCTAAGTCCATTTCCTCACATGTAGGGAGTATGTGTGAGGAATTGTGTGATTTTGATGTCATTAATTTGGGATAGATGTGGTGATCATAATGAGACATTTTGGCTAAATACAAATGGCATTTTGGCTAAACTTAGACAAGGGTTGTTCATGTCTTTTACCACTTGGACATGTGCTCTTTATGCAAGTATTAAGTATAGTGTGGTGTAATATTTGTAGCTTGTGTAGATCATGGATATGTGAATTTGATACCTTCTTCTCTGTCAGGATGCAGCTGGTTTTGGTTTTCAGTACCAGTTAGTTATACTCGCCTAAGACTGTTACTTCTTGTTGTGGAACCTCTAGAGTGAACTGTTCCAAAACGAAAATTATTTTTCTTTCCCATCTTCCGATCCTGGATTATCTGATATGTAGGGTTCAGTTGTTGAACATATTTTGATGCGTTAAGGGAGTAACTTTATTTCCATGGCAACTACGGGAAGGTTACTACAAAGAGTGTTTATTTTTATTTATTTATTTATTTATCATAGATTAGATTTGGAATTAGCTTTTGATTCAGTTTCAGTCGTTGTTAGAGTCTTGTGTTTGTCTCCTTCCACGAATGTTATTCTTGTACTTAAGCTATATCATAAAAGTTATGTTTTAAGGGAGGTTTAAGAAAGTGGAAACTGTATGTGAGAGGAATTGTGTGATTTTGATGTCATTATTTGGGATAGATGTGGTGCTCATAATGAGACATTTTGGCTAAATACAAATGGCATTTTGGCTAAACTTAGACAAGGATTGTTTATGTCTTTTATCACTTGGACATGTGCTCTTTATGCAAGTATTAAGTATAGTGTGGTGTAATATTTGTAGCTTGTGTAAATCATGGATATGTGAATTTGATACCTTCTTCTCTGTCAGGATGCAGCTGGTTTTGGTTTTCAGTACCAGTTTGCTATACTCGCCTAAGACTGTTACTTCTTATTGTGGAACCTCTAGAGTGAACTGTTCCAAAACGAAAATTATTTTTCCTTCCCATCCTTCGGATCCTGGATTGTCTGATATGTAGGGTTCAGTTGTTGAACATATTTTGATGCGTTAAGGGAGTAACTTTATTTCCATGGCAACTACGGGAAGGTTACTACAAAGAGTGTTTATTTTTATTTATTTATTTATTTATTTATCATAGATTAGATTTGGAATTAGCTTTTGATTCAGTTTCAGTCGTTATTAGAGTCTTGTGTTTGTCTCCTTCCACGAATGTTATTCTTGTACTTAAGCTATATCATAAAAGTTATGTTTTAAGGGAGGTTTAAGAAAGTGGAAACTGTGTACTGTAGGATGCTATATTTGTAGGATGCTCGTCTTATTTTAGGCGAATGATCAACGTAGTCTCAGATTATTTGATTCAGCTTGATTTGTTGGAAGTATTCTCCTATATTACCTTTCCTACCTTCTCCGGATGATTTTGCCATGTTAAAGTCAATGGATATCTATGTTACCCGGACCCTTCTATTTGCAGAGAATACCCGTGTCGTGTCGTGTCGACACTGGTGTGGGTATGAGTGTCGGGTGTGGCATTTTAGCCTAAAATGTCCAAGATTTCTAAAATATTGACGAGTCATACACTCAGATCCCCCCACCCGATATGACACCCGTATCCGAGTCCAGGTAACATAGATGGATACTGTTTAGAGATCCTTAAAAACTACTCTGAGCTCTCTAAGGCATCTTTTGAATGTCCTACATAACTGTTTACCTAAGAATTGT